GGGCTCCTCCCAAGCCTTTTGACCTTCCTTCTCACCTTCCCCCAACTGAGCTCAGGTGCTATAGATATGTTAATTGAGCCTGAGAAACCAAGTTGCAGGCCTGGGATTCGAACCTGCGAATTACGATGTAAAGTTGCCTGAATGTTGGGAAAATTACATGTCAGCTGTACCTTGTCTTAGTCCCTCCCAGCCTGGTGTAAGGCTCCTCCCCTAAATAAAAAGGAGGCGCAGAACGAATCCAGGGGCATTACAACTGGCAAGGGGTGAGTTAAGGCAAAAGATTATGACAAGCTCTAGGCAACAATGCAGGAAATAAGTATTCAGGGACACCTAACTGTGCTCATGGGAAACCTATCCACAGACCAGGAGGCAGTTGTTTGAACAGAACAAGGGACACAAAATGGGTAAATTCAGAGAAGATGTGCACCAGCATTGCATTCTCTCACCGTATTTATTCAATCTGCACAGTCAGCAATCTTAGAAACTGGGTTATATGAAAAAGAACACAAAACCAAAACTGGAGGAAGGCTCATTAACATCCTGTGATATGCAGATGATACAAGCGTGCTTGCTGAAACAGAACAGGACTTAAATACTGATTGGTGAAGACCACAGCTTTTTGGTAAGGACTGCACCTCAATGTAATGAGAATAAAAATCCTCACAACAAGATAAATGGAGAAGAGACTGAAGGTGTCAAAGTCTTCATTTTGCTAGGCTCCATCATCAACACTCATGGAAGCAGCAGCCAGGAAAGCAAAGGACGTATTGCATTAGGCAAATCTGCTGCACGAGACCTCTTTAAAGTGCTAAAGAGCAAAGATGTCAGTTTGAGGACTAAGGTGCGCCTGATCCAAACCATAGTATTTTCAATAACCTCATATGGATAGAAAAGTTGTACAACGAATTAGGAAGACCATAGAAGAATTGATGCATTTGAGTGACGGTGTTGGAGGAGAATCTGAAGGATACCATGTAGTGCCAGAAGAACAAACAGATTTGTGCTGGAGGAACTGTAACCAGGATGCTCCTTAGAAGGCAAGATGGTCAGACTTCAGACACACAATCAGGAGTGCCCAGTCTCTGGAGAATGAAGCTGGGGAAAAGAAGGAGACCCCCAAGCGTGGTCTTTTGACTAAGAACCAGTTACAACAGACAACAACCTGAGATTATCCTGCATGACATCAGCCAGAACTCAATACAAATATACAAGCATTCAAAGTAATAGCAACTGAAAATAAGGAATCAGAGATATCAATTAATAATCCAATCAACTATAAAGCAAAGTGAGGGAATAGTGCCGATACAGCACATTCAAATGTTAAGGAAGTCAAGTAGGTCCCAAGATAAAAGACTGTTTTAAGTAAAAAAGACAATTAATTAAAGAATAACCTTAAAGAAAAATAATATACCTACACATCAA